TGTGTGTGTGTGTGTGTGTGTGTGTGTGTGTGTGTGTGTGTGTGTGTATAAAATGTGTGAGTGTATATGTTTATATACTTATATATGTGTTTGTGTTTGTATAAATATATATGTACTGTATATATACAAGCAATATTATTTGAACTCTGACTCTTTCCCATGTGTGTATGTGTGTGTGTGTGTGTGTGTGTGTGTGTGTGTGTGTGTGTGTGTGTGTATAATCAAGGTTTGTGTCAGTCTATACCACAACCACCTTTGGCCTGGTACTCTTTTTTTTTTCCTGACAAACAAAGGAGGAGGAGGAGGAGTTTTTGAGAGGCTGTGGGCGGGGTTACTATAACTGCCTTCCACTCAAAGCCCAAAAAAAAAAAAAAAAACTGTGTAAAACCAGCAGCACAAAGGAGGAGCAGAGAGCAAGAGTGTAATCAGGGCTGTCGGAAAGCTTCCCAGGCTGTTAGACGAAGAACCTGAGAGACTCATTTATTCTGTTGGAGGAAGGTGGACCAAGGGAAGGAAAATGACGAAATATGAATAATAATATGAAAGAAAATCACATTATTCCAGAAACAGAGAGTGAGGCACTTCTGCTCCTGGAAGGAAACAAGATGCTGCTGCACGGCCTGGGCCCCGTGAGCGCTGGGACTCGTGTGACAGCTTTGCTTCTTTGGAGCTGAAACAACCAAGAAACCCAGGAGGGTCAAACAAAAGATCACATGGACACCCTCTCTGATGGAGCTGAATTAGAAAAAAAAATCACCACCAGCCTTGGATTTATTGGTATCTCCTGGTAATTTGGACTCTTGAGCGTAAAGGAGCCACAACTGACTGATTTATCTGAGTAAGTAAAAGTAACCCCGTGTCTTGTGAAGAGAGACTGGGCGGGGGAGGGGAAGAGCCTCCAGCCTGGATCTCTGTCCTTTGGGAGGGATCCTCTTAATGGGCTTTTAACCCCCAAAACAAATACGTCAAGAGAGAGGACATAAATCACACTGGCCACGTGCAGCTGTTCACTCCACAACAGTTGGAAAAGAATTATCTGCAGTAATGGCTTGAGTGTGCTCTGGTTTTTGCCTTTCATTCATTGTGCAAGGGGGACAGCTCATTCTTTAAGAGACCCCCGGCTCTCCAACCCATGATGTACAACGTTACCCCTACGCAATCAGCAAACTGCACCAAGAACGATGACTTCAAGTACCCCCTGTACAGCACAGTCTTCAGCATCGTGTTCGTGATCGGGCTCATCACCAACGTCGTGGCCATGTACATCTTCACCTGCTCCCTCAAGCTGAGGAACGAGACCACCACCTACATGATGAACCTGGTGGTGTCCGACCTGCTGTTCGTCTTCACGCTGCCCTTGCGGGTCTTCTACTTCATCAACAAGAACTGGCCCTTCGGCGCGCCGCTCTGCAAGATCTCCGTCTCGCTCTTCTACACCAACATGTACGGCAGCATCTTCTTCCTCACGTGCATCAGCGTGGACCGCTTCCTGGCCATCGTGCACCCGTTTCGCTCCCGGACGCTCAGGACCAAGCGCAACGCCCGGATAGTGTGCGTGGCGGTGTGGGCGCTGGTGCTGTCGGGGAGCCTCCCCACGGGCTTTCTGCTGAACAGCACCACGAAAAACCCGGACAACGTCACCTTCTGCTTCGAGAACTTCTCGTCCAAACAGTGGAAGTCCCACCTGTCCAAGGTGGTGATCTTCATCGAGACGGTGGGCTTCCTCGTCCCGCTGCTGCTGAACGTCGGTTGCTCCATCATGGTGCTGCAGACGCTAAGGCGGCCTCAAACTGTCAGCCGCGGGGGGAAAGTGAATAAAAAGAAGGTCCTGCGCATGATAATCGTGCACCTCTCCATTTTCTGCTTCTGCTTCATCCCCTACAACGTGAACTTGGTGTTTTACGCGATGGTTCGCACCAAAACCTTGGACGGCTGCTTCGTGGAGTCGGTGGTCCGTACCATCTACCCGATAGCTCTTTGCATCGCCGTCTTCAACTGCTGCTTCGACCCCATTGTTTACTACTTCACCTCGGAGACCATCCAGAACTCCATCAAGAGGAAGTCTCAGTCCAGCCGCTCCTGTGACGTCAAGTTCACGGAGGCCCTGCAGTCAGAGACCACCAGCAACCTGCAGTCCAGCCTGAGAAACCTCAAAGCTAAGGTCTTTCACAGCGAGTCCTCCGTGTGAACTCTGAGGCCGCCGTGTAAAGTCTCTCCAGCCGTTTACAGTCGCTTTTCCATAAAACAATGAAGGGTCCTTGGAGTGCTTTTTCTTGTTTTGATTTTCAACTCAGGGCAAACGTTTGTGGATTTAAAAAGCTTCTGCTCTGCAGGACGTCACCTCAAGTCTGGATTTGTTATGACTACTTAACTTCTCTTCCTGTGGAACGAACTGTTACTGTGTTGAACACAACTACTCATGCCACTGATGCAGAAAGTAATTCACTGTGCTCTCTGAACTGCAGGACAGTTGTAATATTTACACGTTTGTATATTTGTTTATGTCTGCTAACTTTAGAGTATTATCTATTAAATTAACAAAAATGTATAACAACTCATCCAAGTGCGACTTACAAAAAAAAAAAAGCCACCCTGTAATTTACAATTACGAGTCTTTTATTTAGGAATTGTGAATTACAGAAGGTAAAGTTGCCTTTTTTCATGATTGTTCTGATGACATTTCATTTTAAACGTGTTACTGAATGCACTGACAAAGTTTCTCATATTGCACTCACATTATCAAAGCCATTTTCTCTCTAAAACAAACTGCACAGAAACTTTTTCTCACTTCAATTGGTTTTAAACAAGTGTTTCAGTTTTTAAATAATACGCTTAACCTAAATGTAAATGAATTCTGCAAAAAACACGGTTTTAAAATAAATATAAAAGTGACCACTTCTCTGTTTCTTCTGGTGTAAAAAAAAAACAGTCAGAGTTGAGCTGTTTTTTTACCACAAGGCGGTAAAAAATAGAGCTGGATGTGGTTTATTCTTCTGCTGGGGAATTTCTGCTTCTGTGAGGAGAGAAATTCTTATTGGAGTTCTTTCACTTTTACAGACTTTTAAAGTTAAAGTTAGTTTAAAGCTAAAAACGTTTTTATATATATATATATTTATCATAATGAGTAATGAGGCTCCAGCAGTGGTACAATCAGTGCTGCACAGGAGTTAAAGCCCTGTAGGGTAAGTTTTTGTGTAATTTTTGGTTTGACATTTTGACTTTCTTTTGCTCACAGTGATTATAAGACTTTAAAGATAAAAAAAAGTTACAAAAATCTAATGAAAATAGTAAAATTACCAAAAGGCTATCTGAAAGTTAAAAGTGGCAAAACAGTAGCTACAAGCAAAAAGTTGCTAAAGTCTGGGTAAAAGCTTAGATCTTAGTGGTTTTCTACCTGAAAAACTCTTTGGGAACAAAGTTAAATGTTTTGAAAAGTAAAAAAAAAAACAAAAAAACTGCAGAGGTCACACAACTTTAGAATAAGCACAAATAACAGAATAATACAAAGTATGGAAATTAATGACAGAAGTGCAATATAGAGAAATTAAAAACTTTTCTTTTAGAAAAGCAGTCAGTTAGGACTTTTTTTGTAATTTGTTATTGTAAATGAACATTTACAACTCATGAAACGTGGCTAAACTTTGAATCAATGAGTTTAAATGAGATAAAAGTTATGTGTTTAAGTTTAGGCTTAGTTTGTCAAAGTCAGAATTCCTTGTCATTATTTCTTCATCTGTTCCAGCAAATTCAGACAAACTATACATTTTCTTTTGACAAAAAAAAGTCAGTTGGTGACGGAAGAATGGCCTTTTGCATGTTTGTTTTCCTACCTTCAAACCGTTTGCTCCTCAGCCTGCATTTTTAGCCCGTTTCCTACAATTTCTGCAGTTGTTACAAATAGAACATAAATGACTTGTTTTTATGAAAACACTGTAATGGTGCAACATAATGTCATTTTGTTGACCAAATACAGACCGTTTTTTTTTGTGCTGTGGATGTTTAAATTGTCAGATTTCACACTTTTTAGGTTATTTTGAGCCTAAGTTAACACATACAGTCTTCAATTCAATTAAATTAAAATTCAAAAATACTTCATTGATCCCAAAGGGAAATTACAGTTTGGAACAACCCATTGAGGAGAGAGACAAAAAGCACAACAAACATGGGAGAACAGGTGCCCTGAGTACGACGGAGTATTAGGGCCTCACAACGGGGGGCTTTTAAATTATTATTATTATTATTACGAGAATAAAGT